GATGTCCCCCCCCTTCCAGTACGCAGAATACAGAAACGTCACTGGGGCTAGGAGAGGCTGGGGAGCAGCTGGCCCCTTCTGTACCAGGCTCTCATCCTCAGTAAAGACAGATGGCCAGATGCTGGGGCCAGCTACTGGTGCTCTGAACTGCAGCTGCACTCACTTTTCAGCCCTGGAGGTGCACAGCCTTGCCTGCTTCTTGGGTTTGGTAGTCCAGTAGCCCAGCATTTCAGGTTGCCTCCTGGGGACTTATAAGGGACAAATACAACAAAACAGGGCAGGGATTGGCATTAGTTTGGCTGCAGATGCACAGAGTAGAAGAGCTCTTTCCTTCAGCACAGAAATGATTTTGCAAGCTGAAGCAGTGCAGGCAAGATGAGGAAGAGGAAATGGCTCCAGCTACCAGCACCCATCAGAAGACCTTGACCACAAGCAGGGGCAGTGATATGACACCATTTAACCTCCTTGTTTGCTTGCCTGGATTGCTGGTTGCAGTTGGAGACAGAGAACTCGCCGTATCTGGTAAACAGCCCAGTCTGGGAAACGCCTGCACCACAGCTGCCTGACATACTTTCTACAGCATGAATCCTGTAGTAATGGTATCTGTGAGCAAAGCCCTGCTTATACATTCAGTCAGGCAGAATCCACAAGGCTGCTTGTAGCAGAATCATCTGTGACCTCCACAGCATCATGCCATTAATAGCAAGGCTTGGTCTGGGTCAAACAAAAGCAGGGCAGGCTTAATAAGAGAGGAAATGAGGTGGATGCACTCGGCTGGCCTCATCCCCACATGCTCCTACTGTAATTATAGCCTTGTGCAGCTCAGCTCCTTCATTCAGCAATCTCGCCGCCAGGACTGCATTTCTCATGACCGAGGTGTAAAAGCCATACACAGATACATTTTGGCCCCAAGCAAACCAGCAGCAGCATAAAGAGAGCGGAGGCAGGGAACCTCATCTTGTTGCTGCTGGGAGCTGGATGTGTGGCCTGGGATGTGGCAGGGAAGGGAAGGAAGGGTTGGGCTGAGGGAACAAGACCAGGACCGCTATCTGCAGAGAAAGCCGGAGATACCTTATTATTGGTCTGTCAGTGCAGCCAAGTGCAGATGGAGCTGGTAGAAGGTCCCAGCTAATGCTGGCCCCAGTGACACAGCTCGGGAGGGTACTTCAGAGGCCAAGGGGTGGCACATGGTCACAGTGGGATGAATGTTCCCAGCATCCACCCTCTGGGACCATCTGCTCCAGCTCTCTGCTCTTGTGCTCAGGCTGAAAATGAAGACGACATCCTGTTTTCCTGACCTACAGAGAAGGGGTGGCACTGAAGGGCATTCCTGTGCGTGGATGGGATAAGAAGCTTTTCCCACTGTGATCAGACTAAGCAAGGGTGTAACCACCCTTGGCCTGAGCTCTGTAGCATGTGGATGCAGCACTGCACATTGCAGTGAGATAGGCTCGCTGCTGATGCTGGCTGAGACAGAAGACAGCAGGGTGCCCAGGACAGATAAACACTCCCCACTCCACATTGTTGCCCCCTACGAGGAGTGCTCCCCCTCACACTCCTGCTCTCTGGGGGAGCAGGTGCCTCAGTGCTTGGTGTGACCCTGTGAAAGCGTCTCCAGACATCCTTAATCACATTCCTCTGGAGCAGGGACACATCTGGTACAAACATGATCCTGTCCCCAAGGAGCCTGGGCTAATTCCTGTCGCAGAGCCTCAGAGCAGCCCCGGGCAAGGAGGGCTTCAGCATGGCTTTGATCATCACCATCATCACCTTGCAGGGGATGGGGCTGGAGGAGAGGTCCCCAGCTTTGTGTGCCGAATTCAAGCAGTCCAAGCCTGAGCTGGCCTGGCCAGACCCTGCCCAAGTCTGAGCTGTGGCCAGGCTACCCGCAGGCTGGAAGTGGGAGAAGGGAGGAACTGTCATTTTCAAGAGTTGATTTATAAGATGATTTCAAGGAATTGTGAAACTGGAACAGGGAGAGGGCCAGAGCTGCAGGGCCAGCGTGCACCCTACTGTGTGTACTGTGTGTCCCCTTCCCCTTGTATGTGTGCAGTCTATGTCAGGAGAGTGCTTCGGCATCTGGTGGTCTGCCAGGGTCTGGCCACGGGCATCATGCTTGATTTCTGTCTGCTGCTTCTCAGTAGTTCTTCCCCTTTGGAGAAGGGGGACTCTCCTGGCTGTCCGGTGCTTTGGGCAAGGGGGAATTTGGTGGCCCTAGCAAAGCAGCAGGGCCTGGCAGTTGGGGCTGCAATGGTGGCAGTGCATAGCAGAGCACGGGTGCCCTCCTCCTGAATCCGTGCCTCCCTGTGCCTTCGGTTGGGTCCAATGTACTCTGGCTCCGCTGCTGACTCTCCCAAATGAGATCATCCCAGGAATGATGGTGAAGGAAATCAGTCCCCTACCCTATGAGCACAGCTCTGATGAGCCGTTGGGGAGGTGGCACCTGCAGCCGAGGTGTCACAGCTTGTTCCCTTGCAGGCAATGGGAGAGCAAGTCTGGCAGATGCTCACCACCCGCAGCGGCAGCATACTGGCCTGCCCGCCTCCCAGCCATGTGCCAGACCCGTGGCAGAAGAGGAAATTAAGATATTGTCTGGTGTCCAGGAGGAATTCCTGCCTCGGCTTGTTCCTGCCAGTCCTCTGCCGACCTTCCCTCGGTATGGAAAGCCCAGCAGGAAGCTGACTCACTGTCTGCTGCTGCCATGGCTGGGTGCGGGGCCCTGCTGCCTGCAGCACCAGAGGGCTGCTCCTTTCATGGATGCAGGGATAGCTCATGGCCCAGACCCGCAGTCACCTGTTTGCCACAGCTCTCCTCTACCAGAGCCCAGCTCTCTTCTGACAAAGGAAAACAGCCATGGCACCCTGGTTACTGCGACATCTGCACTTGGGCTGACAGGAGGGCTGGGAGTTCACTGGGTTGGTGACATTGCTGTCAAACACAAGAGCAGCACTGCTGTGCCAGGCTTGGGGCAGGAGGCAGCCCCAAGGTGGGGGGAGGAGGGCAGGCTGATGGGCTAGAGAGGGGTCCTGGGCTTGTCCTGCACAGTGGAGCCCATGCCAACCCTTACCGATTTCTTTGTGCTCATCATGTTGCCGATGCGTCCAATAGCTCCTGTTGAGGTGCCAGACGTGGTGGTGGCAGTGTCTGGGCCAGCTAGTGATAGCAAGTCAATGATCATCTGCTTATCAAGGCTCTGTTAAGAAGCAGATGGTTGTAGCCACCCTTTCCCAGGAACAGCACCTAAAGCTAGTTAGGAAACAGTTCAGACATTGCAGTTTCCAGGTGGGGAGTATGAATGTAGGACTAGTGCTTTAATCCTGTAACAGAAAGGAACACATATCAGGTGTTAAGTTTCTTGTCAAGATTCTTGCCACCTTTTCTACCAGGCTGATAGAGTACAGGGCTTACAGCATCAGTCACTGCTGCTCCCTTTATGGAATCCAATGTTTATTGCCTGAATAGTTTGTAAAATTACTTTGTTCTAAGGAATGAGTCAAGCCACCTTCTGCTTCCCTCTTAGAAGGTGTCAGTCAAGAGTGTTAATACTAAAAACCTTGCGTTTTGAAAGGTAGGACTCTTACTTCACCCTGGATGACAGGAACCATGGCCAAAGTTTTTCCAGAGAAGCCTGGGAGGCGACATCTGGTGCTGGAGATGCCTGCTGGTGGAAACTGCTGGCAGGCAGGCAGACAGAGGAGAAAGGTGAGCCTCAACTTTCCTGTGGCTATGAGGAGCTCCATGGCTCCCGGGTTACCAGCCAGAATGGAGAAGCTGAACAGCCAAAACTGTCTGCAGAAGCAGCAATGGTGGAGGAACTGTTCTCTTGTGAGGAGAAAGCTGGCTGTGGCAGAAACAGCTTGACAACAAATGTGTGGCTTTAAGGAGGACTGTCAAGGACACATCACTGTGAGTTGATCTAATCCCCTTCTCTAACACGGTAATTGGCCTTGCGGATAGAAGTATTAGATGTGAGATAAGGACTGCAGTTAGGCTTCTGGTGCTGTCTTGCATGATGTTTTCATAAGGCAGGGAAAGTGGTATAGATTAAACTAATCCAGCACAAGTACAAAAGAGGCTGGATAGTCATGCCCAGGACAGCTCTCAGCAGCTTGGTATCAAAATGGAAGGACACATTGACAGTGACTCATATATCAGGAAACTTTACTCAAAGGTCCAGATAGTGAAGGTGGAAGAGTGGTGGGGGTGGTCATCACAGGTTAGGCAGTGGCTGAAGTCTTGAGTTGGATGTTGGACAAGATACTGTCATCTACCTCAGAATGCTCTCTGTGTTTTAAGTAGTTAAAAATCCCACATTATTAACCAAAATAATAATAATTTTAAAAAAACCTTCCCCTAGCCCCTTCTATTAGATCTCCTTTCTTTCAGAATAAAGAAGTAATTTCTGATGGCAAGAAATACCTTCACAGTGCATTTGTGAACTATGATCTGGCCACACTTCGATCTGTGATCAAGTTCTATATTCAAACTATGATCTAGACAAACTTTGCTCAACCTCTTGCTCTTCACCAGCTGTTCCAGATCTCAGAGACATCATTCTGAAGCTCTATCAGAATTCCTGTTAACAGTCCTGTTAACGTGCTATGACGGTCTGCTGAAGGGAACCCCAAACCCCAAATGTTTGTTATTCCAGATGACACCAGTTGCCCATACAAAGGTCCACACGTGGCTGCTGTGGCTGTGTGCAGCAGTGGTCCCCCGTCCCCGTTGCGTGTCCGTGGGTGACACTGGCCTCTCGGGCCCCCCCCAAACCCTTCTCGGCACCCCACTCTCGAGATGCGGGCTGATCCCCAGACAGTCTCACCCCGCTCCTAAACACTCCGGCGCAAGCAGAGCCCCGTCGCTGCCGCAGCGGCCGCGCTCCCCGCGCCCCGGGGCGGGCGGAGCGGGGCGGAGCGGGCGGCCCGGCCGCTCCCGCTGCCCGCGGCCGGCGAGGCGGAGCCAGAGCGGCGCGGGGCCGGCGAGCCGTGCCCGCCCGGCCGCGGCGATGCGGCGCTGAGAGCGGCGGCAGCGCTCCCGCGGGCGGCACCGCCGATGGACGCCTCTCTGCGCCAGGTGGGCAGCGGCGGGACGGGGACGGCGGCCGGGCTGGTCCCCGCTCAGGGCTGGGAGAGGGGGGGCCGGGTGGAGGCCGGCCGGCGGGATCGGGTCCCGGGGCAAGTCGGGCACCGGGGTGCCGCGCCCCGGGCCAGGAGCGTCCCCGAGGCCGTGGGACGCTGCGCTCCCCGCGGGCCTCGCCGCGCCCCCGCTGCCCCCTCCCCGAGGTGGTCCCGGTTGCACTTTCTCTGGAGCGCTAGGATGCGGCAGGTTTTGTCCCCGAGCGCTCCCCAGCCCGCCGTGGCACCGGGCAAGTCCGTGCGAGGGGCTGAAGGGGTTGCGGGAGCCGGAGCCCGAGCGATGCGTGGTCCCGGCAAAGCCGGCCGAGGGCTGCTTGCGGGAGGAGAGGGTTTGTCGCATGATAGTCATGGCTGCCCAGAGCCGGCTCTTTAATCCTCGAGAGCGACTTCAGAGTCCGGAGCCTGCTCCTGCCTGCGTGTGCGTGTCACGGCGCGGCTGTCGGCCGGGGCACCGGGCCGGTGAGGGGCCGGGCAGCGTGCGATGGGAGTCCCCTGCCCCTCTGTGCTCCTGCCCAGTCACCGTCACGCCGGCGGGCAGAACGGCTGCTCAGCAGCCGGACTCGTACCTGTTAGTCGCGGGCTCTGGTCCCCGCCTGTCCGCGGTGCCCTCGCCGCTGTGCACACAGCCGTGCGGGGCACTGTGATGACGGGGGGAGCGAGTGACTGAACGGGAGGGGCCAGGTGCCGTGCACAGCCCGGACGCCCCGAAATTCTCTCTTGCCCTTTTCCTTGCCTGAGCGTGCACGGGTTTCCAGCCCAGTCTGGTGATTCCTTTGGTTGTGAGGGGCAGGTGGGTGCAAGGCCGGGGCAGCCCTTGCTGGCCCCGTGGGTGACAGCGGGTACCTGTGGCACTGGCAGTGGGCACGGCAGGCACTGTGGGGTGACAGGGCCATCCTAAGGTCTGCATCTGAGGTTTGAAAGCCTCCTGTTTGAGGCAACAGACATCTGCCCCCTCTAACCCCCGGATGGTTTCCAGGCTATTAACCCCAGTGTCTGGCCTTGCGAGTCAGGGTGCGGTGGGGAGCTAGCAGCCCCTCCCGAGCAGCCCGTAGTCAGTGGGTTGGAGCAGCTAATGGGCTCAGGCCTGCCCCCTCCCTGGTGAAGTACTTTCTTTATCAGAACAGATGTTTTCCCAGATCTGGCCCCAGCGAGGAAGGAGTGGCTGCCCTGGGGCTGTGAGGCTGGGGCTGCCCCGCAGCATGCGCAGCAGCACATCGCCCAGCATCCTTCAGCCATTAACTGATTAACCTGCTGCTCCTGGAAGCCTGGGCCATCTGTATCCAATCAGATGAAGGCCAGGGTTTCCCAAAGGGCCATTTCACCAGAGCATTTTTGCCCACGCCTCTGTCAGGAGAAACCTCCTGGCCTCTTGCAACAGGAGTAGCCACCGAGGAGCCTGAAGCACCTGATGGGAGTGGGAGCTGGAAAGGGGATGCCCAGAGATGCATGTCTCTGCAAGTAGCACCCATCAGAGAACTGTCTGCTATGTCCAGCTCTACTTGTCCAGGCATGATTCTACCATTATGTAGAGAAACAGGGATTTCCAGGGAAAGACTCAGGGACAGTCCTGAAGCCAAAGTCTCTCTAAGAGTCCCACATCTATTGTAAATCACAGGCTGGAGAGCTGGAGTGAGCATGTATGGGAAAGCATCAAGCTTTGTTTTGCAGGAAAGGCCGTGGGGGTGGGAAAGAGGGAATGCTTCCCCAGAGCGGGAATGTTTGGCATTTGCTGCACCCCAGTCACTCTTCCTCTTTCTCGACGGGGGAGGATGGGGGGGTTCTTGGTAGGAGGGAAAGCCTGAATAGGAGTTGCTTCACCTCTTTCTGCAGCAGCAGCAAATGAGCTTGTCCCAGGGGATGCATGTCGTCTCTTACAAGGAATAGCTTAAACCCCAGCATGCCGTTGGTCTTGCCTTAGCAGGCTCCCATGCTGTGCTTGCAGCATTTAGATACCATGCTCAGCAATGTGAGGGGTAGGTGGGGATGCCATGGGTCTTTACAGCTCCCCTGGTTCCCCCTTCAGCAAGCTGGAGACCAAAGGAGTTCCTATTCTTTGAAATTTATCTATGATAAGTGGCTTAGTGATGGGTTCAACCTACTTATCATCCAGGCTCTGCTAAGGGGGGAATAGTTTTGGCCGGTTGTGCCAACTTGACACTACTGAAGGGATTCCCATGTGCCGTGCCCTCCTCTGCCTGCAGACCCCAGGGACAGCGAGCTGGCAGGGTGTGTGCTGCCACCACTGTTCCCCTGCAGTGTCCCAGGTGGGCCAGATTAGAAAGACTTCATCCTCAGCAAGTGGTGCAGCACAAAGATGTGCGCCTCTGCCATCTGAGGTCTGCTGTGCAGCATGTCTCAGAGATGTGATGAATGACGCCTTTGCTCCAGACGGGTCTGAGTGGAGGAGCCGAGACAGTGTGTATGCTCTGCCATCTCCTTTCTTGGCTGCTGCAGCAAGTCCTGTGCCCAGGCAGGGAGGAGGGGCCCTGGAGGCCAGGGCTGTGGCATGGTGACAGATGATGGTTTCCCTGTGTGTCTGGAGTGTGGGCAGGATGTGGGGTGACACAGAGGATATGACTCGCTCTCCAATTCTCCCCCAAGGAGCAGGAATGTCATGACCAGAGTTAAAGGAGACACTTCTCCCATCTTGTCCTTCTGTACTCCAGTTGGAGTGACCAGCCAGCACGGTCCCATTGTCAGCCTGCACTGACCAGCAGCATCCAGTGGAGTCACAGGTGCTGTTCTCCTTCTCATGTGCCACTGGCCTAGAAATGCTGACATTTTAAGCATTTTCCTCATTGCTCTTGCAACACAAAAGTTTTCCTCATTGCTCTTTTGGTGAAATCCAAAGCTTTTCTTCTGTGTTGTAAAATAAATCCCCTGAAGTTCTTAAACTTTCTCACATGCAGAGAGAAAGGCAGGGGGATTCTATGCTCATGTCCTGCATGGCTGTATGGTCAGAATTGTCCTCTCTACAGCTGTCATGGTCTTCACTTATTGTTCCTCATCCTTCCCGTCTTTCTCTGACTATAGCCCTTCTCTTCTTTTGGCCTGGGACATCTGCCGTGGAGGTAGGGAGAGGAGCCATCTCCCCCAGGGACACACGCAGACCAGGGGGAAGTCTCAGAGTCAAGTCTGTGGAGGAGCACAAAGGTTACCCAAGTTGCCACCATGCATGCATCTGAGCTGCTTTCTTGGCCCCAAACTGAGGTGGGAAGCAATCAACTCTGCCAGGTTTCTTTTGGTCTGGCAGTTTTGCCCCAACTGCTGACTACCTGATGCAAGTGGGAAGTGCCTGGCTACTTCACAAAGCTATCAGCGAGTCTGAAAAGTGTGGCCCTTTGCCAACCACATGACACTTGACTGTATTCACTGTCCTTCAGGTGTCTAATGGCTCCTTAGTCCCAGTGTAAACTCATGTGTGTAAACATTTGCAGGCAGGGTACATGGGTAAGGAGAAGAACTGAAGGGACTTGACAGTGAAAGCATCTTTGCAGTGTGGAGCCTGCCTGATCCATGGGTGCAGCAGGTACAGGACTGGTCTGATTTTTGGTTGCACATGCGATTCTCACCAGCTTTGGGCTCTTGGTTGAAGCTGTCTGGCTACATCATTCAGAGACCACTGTCTGAGGGAGCCCAGATTGTGCTGAGTGGGAAGAGTTTATACATGGCATGCTGGATTAGGTTTCTCAATATCTTGGTTTGCCCTTCCCATGCTCCCTGCCGTTGGGAGAAGGTGGAGTTCCTGTGAGAGAGGAGCCTGGCCGGATGTCCTGGAGAATCTATCTAGAGACTCTTGTCTGAGATGAGGGAAGTGGTTCAGCTGACTTGGATGACACTGACCATGAGTGATGTGCTGTCTTCACAGATAAAAGAGAGCTGAGTTCCCATGTGTTAACAACCATTGGCTTAGGAAAATGCCATCTTGGAAAGAAAAGGTACATAGAGCATCATCTTCTTTATCAGTGAGGCTGCTCTTTAAAGGGGTATTCCAACAAAGCCTCTCTTCTCCCTTCAGGAACACATGCTTTGTCAACTTTTCCTGACAACCTCCTCTTAGTCTACTGAGAGTATTGTGACCTCTTAGAAAAGAAGACCAAAGAGATTGGGAAGAGACAGAAATTCTGACAATTACATCCATCCTGTGTATGTAATGCTCTCTGTGTCAATACAAAAGAGAGCAATTCCTCTCTGTTTAATTAATCACTGTAGTTCAGCTAAAAAGAAGTACCACTGTCCTTGAAGATATCCATGGGGCTAGTGTAGCATGGATATTCTGAGATGCAGAATCATCTATCCCAGCTGCATCTCCCCCAAACCATTCGGAGTGATAAAGAAGCAGATGTAGGACACAAGGTTTCGACTGACGTGTTCTGGAGCAGAAATTGCAGGGAAGAAAGCTCTTGTGCCAAAGGTGACATGAAGAAGTGTGTGGTGGAAGAGAGAGTCCTGCTAGCTCCCTCCTTAGGGCATTCATCTGGAGCCAGGCTGCATGAGCTGCGACCTTGTCAGATCCCATCAGCAGCAAGAGGGTGGGCTGGCGCAGGCTCTCGATGAGAGTCTCCACGTGAAGCATGCCAGGTTGCCCCGGGCCAGCCTACAGCTGCCCCATCATGGTCTCCAAAACCACCTTGTTCTGCTCTGGTTTCACTTCTTGCCACACTTTTATTTAACATAATAATCACAAATGTTTCTCAATTTCTTGTTTCCCATTTTGCTTTAAGGAGAATCTGCAAACTATTTAAATGGGATCATTAAGACTGAAACTTGTGAGAGTCTGGGTTTCTTGGTTATCCTCCAGTTACCCTAAACTCTGCAGTTCTGCCTCCTCATTTCCCTCTGAGGTTGCCCACAGTTCAGCAGTGCTGTAGAGCCAAGTCTCAGGAAAAACACCTACGGATGGCCTGTCTGCCATACAGCACTTGGCACGGTGTCCAG